GAGACCAGCCTGGGCTACAAAGTGAGCTCAAGGCCATCCTGAGCTGCGTAGGGAGACGCTGTCTCAAAAAGACAAAAAACAAACAAACAAAAACCAAAAACTAACAAAACAAACCCTGGGGGGCGGGTAGGAGAAAGGATAATAAAATGTGAGCTCCACCAGGAAAAATCCTCACTAATTTACTGGAGATACCTAAAAAAGTTGCAAGCGCACAACCTGCACTCAATAAACACTTGACTGAACGAATACAGCAGGGCTAGATAGAATACTAGAATACTGTGTAATTTTTTTTTTTTCTTCCACTACCGAGAATTGAACTCATGACCTCGCGCTTGCCAGGCAGGCACTGTGCCGCTGAGCTAAATCCCCAGCCCTTAGATAGATTATTAGAAAGGAAGAAAAATCAGAAGCTGGAGGGTGAACTTGAGGGGCAAAGGTGTCAGGACGGAAACTCCCAGTGACGGAAGTGAGCATGTGAGGAAGGAGAGCTAGTTTTTAAGTACGACTGGTGGCCATGGTAACAAAATCTGCATTTTAATATGACCAGAAAGGATGAAAATTCTCAAATTTCCAAAAATTACCTAACCATCTAAAGCCGTTTCTTCCTAAATCTTGCCTGCACACCCTCCCTGTTCCTTCGGCCCTCGTATGAGCACGAGGGGGAGGAGGGACCTAGCAGAAGAGGCAGGAGAGGAAGGGAGCAGGGCGACAGTCCGGTCCGCAGTAACCGCAGCACTTTTCCCAGCTTGGGGACGTGCATCAAAGCGCGAGCTGGAAGCAGCTGACTTGAAGAAACAAAAATGAAAAGCAAACAAGAATAAAACTACGGGGCCAGGGACATAGCTCAGTGGTACAGCGCCTGCCTGGCAAGCGCAAGGTCCTGAGTTCGATTCCCGGCACCAAAAAAAAAAAAGGTTACGAGCTCGTGCCCACTCCTGTGGACGGCTGGATCCACGCTCTCCCAGTTGGCGGCGAAGTACGGCCCAGTCTGGGTAAAGGTCGCACATCACGGGACGCGGTCAGGAGACCTCCAGGTGAGTCAAAGTTGGGGCGACTCCCTTGGGCGGGGAGCGGATGATGCCCTCAATGCTCGTGACAACACTGTGCCCAAAGGCAGCTATTTTAGCAGGAACAAGTCTTCCTTTCCTCAGAAGTCCCCGCCCCACCGCCCCTCCCACAAGCGCACAGAGGCCGTAGGCTGACGTCATCCCTCCCGCCTCGCTCCCTGCGACGCTCCAGACGTCGTAAATCCGAGGCCTGTCGTAAGGGCCGGGCAAGAGAGGCGTTGAGAGAAAGGGCACCACAGAGGTACAGCCTACTGTGCTAGTTAGCATGCGCGCGCAGCTCTCTGGCGCGGGACCTGGATGCCCGAGCCAATGAAGCGCGGTAACGTCATCACGTAGCAGCTGGCTGGGCCGCAAGTCGGGCCACGGGAGGGCAGAGCGAGTGTGGTTGCACCGACACCGGTACTTAGCCGCGGAGCAGCGTGTCCTTGGGCTAGAGGGCCGGACGTCTGGCTTCGGAATTGGAGTCTTCGTTGCGGTAACGAGGACGGAGCGGTGACCGCCCGGCGCGGAAGCTACAGCAGGTGGGAGGCCGAGCCGTGGGAGACGAGCCCTGTGTGGGGGCGTGCGAGCGGTGCGAGGCCCGCGCCCACGGTGTTCGAGTGGAACTTGCCGGGCGGGTGGGGCTGGAAGCGGAGGCCGGTTACCGGCCGCTAGAACCTGGTGGGTTAGGACTTCAGGCGGAGCCGAGCCCCAACTAGACAAAGGTGTGGACCCGGCAAGGGCTGTGGGCGGCTTGGTCGCTGAGGCGCGGCGTCTGTCCGTGCTGAGGCGGTTTACCGCCTCCTTCCGAGAGCAAAAGCTTCTCTAATAAGGCTTCTTTTTGTTTGTTTGTTTTTGGTCTTTTTGAGACAGGGTCTCGCTATGCAGTTCAGGCTGGCCTCGAGCTCACTTTGTAGCCCAGGCTGGCTTCGAACTCGCAACGATCCTCCTGCCTCAGCCTCCCGAGTGTTGGGATTACTGGCGTGCGCTACCACGCCCGGCTAAGGGCTCATTTTTTATTCCCTGTCTTTTCTCTTGTGAACCGCTCAAGCATCCCGGAAGCGTGGGGTGCCTTAGTCTCCTTGAAACCGACCTGGATGGGTGACCTCGTGGTCCTTCTGGATCACAGAGGTGCAGAGTGGGAAAACCCGGTCCCAGCCCCACCTCAGTGATGGCATAGCGGGCTACTGTGTGACTTAAGCTGCACTTCTGATCCAAGCACACCGAGAGAACTGAGACCTTTTAGAAAAAGATGTTTTGTCTTCTCAGACGTAGCTTCAAATTGCAGCACAATTAAGTAATTAGGGCATCTTAATGGTTGGAATCCTCGTGGTTTTGGTTTAATGTAATTGCAGTTCAGTTTTATGTTTGTTGCTCTTTTTGACCTTGACCTCATCGTTTGAAACTGAGGTTTGAGCTGGATTTCCATTTAGTGTACTTAGGCTTTTAACCTTCTGCCACGTACACAGATATCGTTTAAGGGAGCTTCTCCTAAGCAGTTTTTGTTTTGTTTTTTGTCTTTTTGAAGCAGGGTCTTGTTATGCGGTTCAGACTGCCCTTGAGCTCACTCTGTAGCTCAGGCTGGTTTCGTACTTCCGATGATCCTCCTGCCTCAGCCTCCCAAGTGCTGGGATTAGAGGCATGCACCACCACGCCCGGCTGAGTAATACTTTTGATATTGAACAGTGTTTTGAGTCTTTTAAGCAAAACCAGATTCATTCGCCCTGGTACTTAAAGTCCAAGATAAGTGGTTAAGTGATGGGAGTGATCTTTGGTTTCGACTGTATTTGTCACTTGAGAAAAAAAGTTACTGTTCGGTCTTTCGTTTTTAGGTTTAAAAATGGGTGATGTTGAGAAAGGCAAAAAGATTTTTGTACAGAAGTGTGCCCAGTGCCACACTGTTGAGAAGGGAGGCAAGCACAAGACCGGGCCAAATCTCCACGGTCTCTTTGGGCGGAAGACAGGTCAGGCTGCTGGATTCTCTTACACGGATGCCAACAAGAACAAAGGTAAGAGGACCGTTAAATAACATAGCAGACATTGCATGAGTGTAACCTATGACAGACTTCTAACAGGAGTGTGAAATACTTTTTTTTTTTTTTGTCTTTTTGAGACAGGGTCTTGCTCTGCAGTTCAGGCTGGCCTTGAGCTCACTTTGTAGCCCAAGCTGGTTTCAAACTCACAATGATCCTCCTGCCTCAGCCTCCTGAGTGCTGGGATTACAGGCGTATGCCACCACACTCTGCTAAAATACTCAACCAGTACATTCTTTTTTGTTTAGGTATCACTTGGGGAGAAGATACACTGATGGAGTATTTGGAGAATCCCAAGAAGTACATCCCTGGAACAAAAATGATCTTCGCTGGCATCAAGAAGAAGGGAGAGAGGGCAGACTTAATTGCTTACCTCAAAAAGGCTACTAATGAGTAATAGTCACTGCCTTATTTATTACAGAACAGAAACGTCTCATGCTTTTTTATGTGTACCATAACTTAATAGATCTCATACACCAGAATTCAGATCATGAGTGGCCTGACAGAATATTTTTGTTGGACAGTCTTGATTTAAGTAAAATTGGCTTGTAGTTCAATGGATATCTTTTTTTCCCCAAATTTTGATAGTAATTTCAGTTGAGTAAATACTATCACTGTTTTCCCATTCCAAATATATTGTTGGACTTGATTAGTAATGTTCGACTTTTCACAAAGATTGAGAATGTCATCTCAAAACTTACTGAAGGTTGGTTTTATATTTAGATTTATATAACTGGTTCTGTGAATATGCTTAAATATGGAGAAATTCCTCATTGTCTCAAAACCAAGCAAGACTCCCCTGTTTGAGTTTGTGTTTATGTGCCTGTTAAAGGGAGTGGTTGAAGACAAGAAAGCAACGTCTATATTTTTGGTCGTGACTATACCGATTTAATTAGAATTCCCTGTATCTAAAAAAGTGCTGCCTTTTACTTACAGAAAGGCATTTTACTGTGGTGTATGTATAATACCAAATAAAGAATATTTAACATTTCTCACATTTTAGAGTTGATCTGTAAGTTCAGATCCTTTTAAAAGCATGATATAATAGTAAGTTAGACTTTACTTTTGAATACTTTAGGTCAGACTGAGTTATTATTCAGGATAGTATTTAAACAGCTATTTAAAAACACAAGACTGAAACTACTGTTGAATGTGTGATTGGTAGTGGTGCTTCCTGTTAGCTCATTAGAAGGATTAAAAGTGGGGAAGGTACAACATGAGCACAAATTTGTATGTGACTATGATACTTAATTAAAAACAAATCAGATTGATTTTTTCAGTTGTTCTTGATTTAATGGTAAAACCAGTGATGAAAAAGGATAATAAGACAGGGTGTGGTGGCGCACGCCTGTAATCCCAGCACTCGGGAGGCAGAGGCAGGAGGATCATTGCAAGTTTGAGACCAGCCTGGGCTACAAAGAGCTCAAGGCCAACTTGAACTGCATAGCAAGACCCTGTCTCAGAAAGACAAATAAATAAATAAATAAAAAATAGAAAGGATAATAGCCCCAAATGTTTATAGAGCAGTAGTACTAGTAAAAGTTCTAGATGATGTTAATGTAGTCTCCAGGAAAACCTGAACTAGAACAACACTAATTCACCTCTAAAGTTTCTTTCACCAGAACATGAACTGTAGCATTTATATGCCATAAGTGAATAGAGGAATGCTAGGAACATCTTCATTTGCAGTGTGTAACTGAATAATCGGGTACTACATTATTTTGTCCACAATCTGCCATACACATTTAGAGTAGTCCTTGGAAGTTTTATGGAGATGGTAAGGGAAATAAATCATGCTGACAGAGGTAAAAGCCATATCTGGTGACAGTGAAGAAGCTGGAAGAGGCCCTCACTGTGGTTGTAAAGGGGGTAAATAGGCTGCTGTGGTCTGACTTTTTAACATGAGTTTTTCACTCATAGAAGAAAGCAAGGAAATCAGTTTGGAAACTTCTGTAATTCAGATTTGAAGTCTTGGTCTGAGTTTCTGTGGGAATTTTTTTTTGTACTGGGAATCGAACTCAGGACCTTGCACTTGCTAGGCACGCGCTTGTACCGCTGAGCTACATCCCCAGCCCTCTGGGAATTTAAAGATGTGCCATGTAAATCCTTCAGAGGTTAGACTTGTTTTTACTTTCTAGGGGTAATACAGAAAGAAGCATTTTTAAAGAAAGGCATGGAAATTTGGTTTAATCAACATCACTTTTTGGTAATAACTGGTTTAGTTTTTTACAAGTTATAAAATTTTGTGTGCCTTCTATGTCAGCTAAGGCTTATGTTGGTACACGTGGCGCCTGCCATATTTTAGGCCAGTTAGATTCAAGTAAAACACCTCCAGCGATTTAGAATGTAAATCATCTTATAATTAATGCAAAAAAGGGACATTCTTAGCTATAAGAAATAAGGACACAGACAAAAAGCTAGCACTGTAACTTAACCTATTTTCTAGGTAATTCATCCCAAAGTTTCCAAATTCCTATTGAAGGATGGTTGTGTTAATGATACCAAAGGTATAAGCCAGGTGTATTTAAGGAGGATTTCTTTCAAGTGCCACCTATGCTGTAAATTTTGTTTAGAAGAACACTGCCCACTAGAACTCCCTGTAATGATGAACTTCTTCCAGATCTTTGTGAGCAGTAACTACATGTGACTTGTAAGTCCTTGAAACATAGCTAGTGTGTCTACAGAACTGAATTTTTTAACTTGAATTAATTTAAAATCTCCATAGCCACAAATAACAAACAGTGGCTATAACATCGACAAGGTGGGTATAGAGTAACACAAATAGTGGCTGTTGTATTGACAGGATGGGTATAGCACTAGAGACAGATCAGTAACAAGTGCTTCCATAACTCCCATTAATGTAGGATTAAAGAAAGTATACTATAAATATTCTGAACCCTTGTTCCCAGTTCCTTTTTCTAGACTGATAAATTCACCCCTACTTTTACAACATGTTTTGCCTATTACATTCATTAGTTGGCAGTTCATTTTAGATACATGACATTCTGGTGGTAGCTAGGGATATATTTTCATGTCAAACTTTTTCTGCACTTGGATTTTATTAACATACATTGTGTAGATTCACATTAACACTTAGGATTGTTGTAAATTATGAAGGAATCTGCATTAGCTGTCTTGGAAGAGGCCTAACCAGCACTAGCCCTCCATAGTTGACGGCTCAGGTGGTTTCATGTTGGTCAAATTCAGACAAAAGTAAACTAAAACCAATTCTCTTACAATGGAGAATATTCATAGGCTCTTTTGGCTCCCCTTTGCTATGTCAATATTGTATCTTTTAAGCCAAAAAGATGTTACTGAGCGTGAAATGAGAGTTACGTAGTTCACAGAGACAAACCTTAGGCATCATAGTATACAAATACACCTTTATAGTGACAAGAAAGTTGGTCTCTGATGAATTTCTTCCACGCATTGGTGGGTTACTTTGGGAACATTTTTGTGCCTTAGACTGACAATCCCTCCTTGGAGTATAACACAAAATAAGAGATTTACACTTTAAAATAATTAGATTCCATATTATCTTATTTGGAGTTTGGGGTTTATGAAAGACTGGTCATACCCTAGGGCTATCGTGTTTTATTCAGAAAGCCAGGCAGATTTATTATTTCTCAACAAATGAAATGTTCTAGCTCTTGGGAGAAACTTCATTGTCAGTCCTCCTACTTACCATCAACAAACAGAATTCACCATACATAGAAATATATAACACACTGGACCAATATATAAGAATTGATAGATCATTTGCAGTTTGTAGAAATGACGTGGGAAAAAAATAGCAAGAGGCAGACTGACTTAATTACTAGAACTTTGGTAAACTATGCCCACTATAACTACATTAAAAAAGGCTGTAGGAGCTGGAAGAGATTTTAGAAATTTCTTACAATCCAACTGCTAATTTACAAGTGAGAGGTGAAGTTAACCTGAAGTAGGTATGTATAGCTCATGAGCAACATAATGGAAACTAGAACCAAGATACTCTGACTCCAGTTCAGTCTTAGTCAGAATCCCCTATTCCCAGACAGTAGTGAACTTACTACCTTTTTTTTCTCTTTTATTCATTAGAAATGCAGCTGCAGTCCTTATTGGGCCATACTTTATGTATATAAACATTTAAATGTGTTGAGTTCAATGTCTTTAATTTTTTTTAATTAATTATTTAAATGCTTAATGCAGAGAACGCTGGGCCTGGGCTTAGAAGAAGTTTAGAGTAGTACATGTCAATATACAATAGCCTGTAGGCCGAATCTGACTCTACACCTGTTTTAATTTTTTCGTTTTTTTTTTTTTTTTTGTCATTCTGAGACGGTCTCACTATGCAGTTCAGGCTGGCCTTGAGCTCACTTTGTAGCCCAGGCTGGTTTCAAACTCCCAGTGATCCTCCTACCTCAGCTTCCTAAGTGCTGGGGTTACAAGCATGTGCTGCCACATCTGGCCTTACACATCTGTTTTTGTAAGTAAAACTTTATTGAAAAACGTAGTCATTTACATTCATTTATGTGTTGTTTAGGGCCACTTGTGTTACATTACAATGTGGTTGCAGTAGAAACCATATGGCCCACAAATCTTTACTGTGTGGCACTTTTAAGAAAGTTTCTTGGCTCCTGGCTGAAGAGCTTTGCTTTGTCAGTGTGTGATAACACAGCCTCATTTTTACCATTTAGAGAATAGGAATAATCCTGACCTCAATGAAGTCATTGCATGATACCTGTGAAAATCCATTAACTGTTAAGCATGGAAAAGCTTTATTAATTTTATATTTACATGAAGTTCCTTGAAGGTCACATAGGGGAAAATTACTTTTTCTTTGATTAACAATAACCTAATTATCGAATCTATTGACTAATAGCCAATATTTTGACTCACTTTCTTACCTCTTGGTTTAAGTTAGCTTTGGATTCACATTGAATGAAAAAGGCATCATAAAAATGTTTATGGCCATGGAGCTGTAATAATCTGTAATCCAAATGCATACTTATAGTGTGACATTTTGCCCAGATTTTAGTACATAACTCAGACTGCTTTGTAATGAGTCATATGTGCCTTCACATGTCACTTCATCCTCACTACCTCATGAGGTATATGAGGCAGACATTGTCCCTGTTACAGCTGAGCACACAGGCTCAAACTGTTACTGCCAAAGGTCACTCGGACGCATTACCTTGTTGGTCTTGTCATATGTACTGACACCTGCCTTTCCACGGCGCCTTCTGAAACTCCACAGAAACTGGGTCATCTCTACTAATCTCTTAACAAAACACTCATACCTTCTTTCCTTAGAAACAGCTTTTTCCAAGCCTACCCCACAGGTAGGGGCATGCTCCTTTTTCCACATTGCCCACAACAACAGCCTCCCGGTTATGGCATCACTCTTTCTCTCACAAGCAGAAATTACACAAGCAAGGTGAGGTACCTGATGAACCTTGCCGTCTGTACTTCTGGACCTTCCTCACATCCAGTGAAAACTTCATCCAATTTACAATCTTTACTCCAACCGCTTCTCTTTTGTTCAATTACCCTGGCAGTAATCACACGAATGACCCATCCTTAATGCCACCATTTTTTTCACTTGACTTTTTACTGTTCAGTGTTTGTCCATCAGTACAATTTAGATATATCACTAAAGCAACACCACCTCTGAAAAAAGAATCCCATTATATCAGTCTTTGACTGCATCATAATGTTCCATGTTATATTTCTCTTGTATCCGTGAACTCATCAAAAACCCCAGGTGTGGTCTCTTAGCCAGGACCTCTGCTTTTTTTGTTGGCTTTTTGAGGCAGGGTCTCACTATGCAGTTCAGGCTGGCCTTGAGCTCATTTTGTAGCCCAGGCTGGTCTCAAACTCTCAGCGATCCTCCTGCTTCAGCCTTCCGAGTACTGGGATTACAGGCGTGTGCCACCACGCCCAGCTGTGCTTCTTTTCAATCACTGTGTTGTCTACATTCAGTGCCTTCATCGCTTGTGCTTTCTTTCATAGCATCTGCTTTGCAGACTCCAGGCTGGAAGCAGCCTAGCCACCTGCTTTTTCCACTTACCAGATCCAAGTACTGTTGGAGAAAATAACACACTTCCGCCAGCTGACACCATGGGAGACTCTTCATCTCAGTCACTCAAGCAGCAGGAACCTGTCCCACTGCCCTTTCATATACTCATCTTTTCTTGTTATTGCAGGTGTCCACCATGCTCCTCAAGCTTCTTATCTTTCCCCTACCCTGCTCGTGCCAGATGGTCTTGCCTCCCATGTGAGATATGAA